GCTAGAAAACATCTAAACACAAGAATTCCGTATCTGCCTGGTTTTTGGCGTTCAGTCCCGTGCATATCAGGTTCATGAGCTTCCATGGATCTGTAGGTCTCAGATAATGCCTAGGTTGGTAAGACTAGGTAAGCAGCGAAATGTGTTATCTACAGGACTGCCAATGGAATTTTTGATTGGTTACTGGAGGATATCGCGTGAAAGAAGTGGTGCGGAGACTAATTCCCAATGAGGATTAATGGGTTTCATCCTCTCAAAGCGGCGACGGGCTTGTCCGGTGAGCCCCACCCCTCCTTTTCTGCTCCAGCCTCCAGAAGGGCAGGAGGCCAAGGAATTCATACCTTATCGCCCTCATCAACCATGGACTCATGATTCACAAATCATAAGCGATGTCGCCACCATCCCGGCGAATGACAGAGTAAGGTTAGAGAATCGAGACAGCCTATTGTGTTGGCAATCGACCATTCGCCCTGAGGTCATTCGCCATGTAGACTAGAGACCTGTATAAGCGAAGAAATACTGAGGTAGTATTCTCTTATCCTTGGCGGTCTGCAATTTCCTTGGTATAGGAGCCTCATCTCTGCAAACGGAATATCTACTCTGTCGTCCAGATTAGGTGTTACAACAGTCCATTACCAATGTCATGATAAGTGTCCTTGTAACAGAGCTGTTAGATAGCTATCTGTGGTTATGCATAGATAAGTATGGAGTCTCTGGAGCAACTTAGCAAGTCGGTGGTTTCGACTCCACAAAAGGATGGATCCTCACCAATCCCCAGAGACATCACGAGCAGCTCAACTGCTCGAGTGTCAGGTTGTCGGCGGTCGCGGCTCGCAGGAGATATGATACCAAGAAACTTGCCCAACCCCAACTCCAAGACTGCTGGCCCACTCGCCAGTGCCCCATAGGCTCTCTAACCCGAAGCGGTAGTGCGGTACAGCCATGGCACTAACTCCATGTGGAACCTCTGTTAAATCAAGCGACTATCTAGAATTCTAGATACATGGAAGCTGAATCCAACCTGCTACCTAGGCTGAGGATGTTGTATTGCATGGCACCCTCTTATATTTAATTCGATGTTATTTTTCTTGTGTGCATGGAATCATGCAATCATGCTGTTCTCTCCCTTTTCTATGCCCCTTTTTCCATACTTCCCTGGAAACACTGGATTGAAATGGCGTTGGTCTACTTTGGATATTGTATAGATGGGTGGATGATAACAGATGCTTTCTGGTTAGGTCTATGGGTTAGTCTGAGATTCTAACCAAGACGATAGGATATTTAACAAATTCTCTATCATTATCATGATTATTATTATTATTATTACCTGACTAGCTTGATGCAAGACACGGCTGGTCTAATTTTGAGTTGAAATGGCTCGTGGTCTGTCATTATTCCCGCAGTCAGTTCACAGTAAGTTCAACGAGTAATGATAATTCAAACTTATCAAAGCGGTGATGGCAAAAATCGAGGGTCATCATAAATAATAATAACCAAAATCATAAATAATAAACCGCCAAAGCAAAGTCTAATTGGATCTAGTCTACCCCAGGCCCGGTCAATTTCACCCTTTTTAACTTCCCCCGACCTAGGGAACAGAACGCCAAAGCGTAAGCTATCGGCCAGTAAGCCCCACCACAGAAATCCTGGCTCTTGGTATCTATCTATCTGTGTGGCGCCTGGATGAGGGGACTTTTCCTTTTGCTGCGAAAGCGTTCTTCGCATCTTGACACTAAAGAGGCAAAATGATTATTCTACCTAACCTAGTGAGAATGTGATCGTCCCATAGACAACCCTCTTTTCCAATTATTTATACTGACCCATCTGCCTCTCCCTCATCATTCACTCAGACTAAATAGTCTGTCTGCATTGAACCCTAGACAGTACACTCCTAGTCTCCATCTTGTCTCAATCTATTCACCTGACTTCTTTCACTTTATCCTGCCCCTTCATGTTACATTTATCTTCGCTTCCTTAACGACTACACAATCATGGAGAAAGACTCTATTGAACATAAGGCGGAGCCTATGGTGTCCGACCCTCCCCCAATCTACGGTGAAACAGAGACTACCAAAGGAAGCATGGGTCAGCGGATATGGGACAGCTTCAAAAGGGACCCTAACGCACATGTTACGGCGGAAACCACTGGATCAAATGGCGGGACCTTTGACCTCGAACAGGCTGCGCAGAAGACCGCAAGCTCTCCTCTGCAACGCAGTCTGAAGAACCGTCATCTGCAGATGATTGCCATTGGTGGTTCCATTGGTATGGACTGGCGCTCGAAATCCCGCACATCGCTTTGATTTTTGATGATCGTTGCTAATCTAGTCTTTGCTGAGCAGGTACTGGTCTTTTTGTCGGTTCTGGAAAGGTTTTGGCCACCGGTGGTCCGGCGTCTGTGCTGATTGCTTATGCCTTGATCGGTTGCATGCTTTACTGCACTGTGCATGCGCTGGGTGAAATGGCTGTGCTGTTTCCCGTGGCCGGTTCTTTCGCGCACTACTCAACCCGATTTATCGATCCTGCTTGGGGTTTCGCTATGGGCTGGAACTATGCTCTCCAATGGCTGATCGTCTTGCCCCTGGAAATTGTCGCTGCGTCTATCACAGTTGATTACTGGGAGTCGAGCATCTCGAATGCCGCTTGGGTCGCCATATTCTGGGTTGTCATCGTGTCAATCAACCTGTTCGGTGTCAAGGGTTACGGTGAGGCCGAGTTTGTCTTCTCGCTGGTCAAGGTCATCGCGGTTATTGGTTTCATGTGAGTAATCTCGCAACATCCCAGTCGAGCTGCGCCCAATGTGACTAACAAAAATAGTATACTTGGTATCATTCTGAACTGCGGTGGAGGCCCCAAGGGTGGCTATATCGGTGGAAAGTACTGGCACTCGCCGGGTGCCTTCCACAATGGTTTCAAAGGCCTCTGCAGTGTCTTCGTCAATGCTGCATTTGCGTTCGCTGGTACTGAGTTGGTCGGTCTTGCTGCGGCTGAGACTGCGAATCCTCGCAAGTCCCTTCCAACTGCCGTCAAGCAGGTTTTCTGGCGTATCTGTCTGTTCTACATCGTGTCGCTCACTCTGGTTGGCCTGCTGGTTCCGTACGACGACGACCGGCTCTTGGGCGGCTCGTCGAGCGCGGATGCCAAAGCTTCCCCGTTCGTCATTGCGATCAAGAATGCCGGAATTTCGGGTCTTGACTCCGTTATGAACGTCGTCATCATGATTGCCGTCTTGTCCGTTGGTAATTCCTCGGTTTACGGCTCCTCGCGTACCCTTGCGGCTCTGGCCGAGCAGAGGCAAGCACCCCAATTCCTCGCATACATCGACCGTCAGGGACGTCCTCTTTTTGCCATTTTTGTCGCATCGGCCTTTGGCTTGCTCGGATTCCTCGCCGCATCTAACAAGCAGGGTGATGCATTCATGTGGATGATGGCTATCTCAGGTCTTTCGTCCATCTTTACCTGGGGCTCTGTTTGTTTCTCCCACATCCGCTTCCGCAGTGCCTGGAAGGCTCAGGGCCACAGCTTGAACGAGCTCGCTTTCCAATCTCAGGCGGGTGTTATTGGCTCCTGGATTGGGTTTATCTTCAATTGTCTTGTGCTGGTTGCCCAGTTCTGGGTCGGCTTTGCACCTATCGGTTACGCCGAAATGACTACAGGAGGGCTGGTTGAGAGCTGGTTTTCCGTCTACCTCGCCGCGCCTGTTGTTCTTATTTTCTACTTCGTTTACAAGGTCTATTACAAGACGTCCTTCCTGCGTGCTAAAGATATGGACTTGCACACTGGTCGTCGGGAGTTGGATATCCAGCATCTGATTGAGGAGGAACGTGCTGAACAGGCCGCTTGGCCTGTATGGAAGAAGGTTTATAAGACCTTCTGCTAAAGACGATGTGTAATTCATAGAAGCTCTCTTCTCTGAGACACGCGTGACGTTCTTGCGATGTTTTTATTTTTCATATCTGCATCTGTACATTCATGATGTCCCTCTATCTCGGCTTTGACAACCTCAATTCATGACTGTGTATCGGGAATCTGAGTCCGATATCGCAGATCAATCCAATCATCAAGGAATTATTACTGAATCATGCAAATCTAGATATCTTCCAATCCGTATCACAGCCAGCAGTATTCCACGCCTACTGGTTGAGACCACATTGTTAGGCCCGAGAATGCGTCTGCCTAAGGCAATAATGCCTCGTAATGGCTTTACTGAGAAGAAAACCGCTAAGGTGGGTGGCTATTACCGCGTGCTGTAAGTTTTGTATCATATCAGCCACAAGTGTTCTCCCGTGTTAAGGCCCGTAATCTTTCGACTTGCCAAGCCAACATACCTATCTAACATACCCAAAAATAGAGACTTCAGCTAAGGTCTGGAGGTTGGAGGAGAAAACAACGTGGCGGCTGGAACCCAAACCGCGTAATTTTACCGTAGCTTAATTACATGACGGCAGTCCAAACGACCAACCCAGACTCTTTTCAGGATCTCGGCCAGCGAGACAAACTCATTAATCTCTGTATTGTTGTCCACTCCATGTTGCTGTTATCGTTGCGTTCGGAGGACAGATTGTACAATTGAACTTTCTTTAACCTCAATTTCGTTGTCAACGTTCTTTTTCGCTTTCGTCTAGCTCTAACTCCTGCTAACCGCCCGCTCTGGTCGGTCTTTAGGCGCCCTCATATACAGTCTCCTCAAGCCCATGCCTGCTCGCAGCCGATTTGTTCTACCCTGGGATTTGCAAGTGCGATAAAAATAATCTGTTTGGACGAGGCTGGTCACTCATTACCCCTTTCGCATTTTGATTAGTCCTTTCTGCTCTTGAAGCAGTCTGGAGAGTATCTCAGCGTGTGGTTGTGTTAAGTTTCGGGCACGGCACAAGTCATTCTTTCCTTCGGCCTTCCGTCTACCTCGAGATACCCCGCGCGGCAGTCGCTCTAATCTTGGTTGATAAGATTGCCACAAGATACCCGGACGATTGCTGCAGTGGACACCTTGGGAACGAAAAATGCCTGGTTTCGCGGATTCATTTTGGACACCGGACTACGCTACCGGACTTGGAGTGCTGTACGGGAAACTCCAACAGGGCGTCGCCGAAAACAGGCAGATTCTCACCATTGCGAGCTTGCGAGCGGATGCGGAGGAGCAGTATGGTCTCAAGCTAGGGGAAATCGCGCCCAACGTGGATCGCATGACAGCAGGGTTTGCAAAAGACGATGGGGCTAGCGTGAGAAAGGTAGGTTGTTCTTCGCCCTTTCGAGGGAGGCTCACTTGCTGATCGTGTGCGTTGTCAGGCGTATGAAGGTGTTCGCTCCGAAATGATTGAGGCCTCCAAAAACCATCAGAAGATTGCGTCGAACATCCGTGAACTCGTCGTTTCCCCCTTCAGACGATGGTGTGACCAGCACGAGGCTCGAATTCAGAACTCCCATGATGATCTTCAGGCCCGGATTAAGGAGCATACCAAGCAGGTGGAACTCACCAAGAAGCTACGAAGCCACTACTTCAACAAGTGCCGGGTGGTAGAGGATTTGGAAGAAGAAAACAAGTTGGCTTTCCAGGGCCCTGAGACCAGTCCCAAGGCGACCCCCAAGATAGTTCTGCCGGAAGAACAAGCGGAGGAGGAGGAGGAGCCGATCGAGCTGGGAGATCGAGTCTACGCCCCGGAGGACCTCAAGGAGCTCCTGATACACATGCTTGATAATATCAAGGTTGGGGAGGTTAAAGTGCCTATCATTGGGACTTATCAGAATACATCCAACGGTGCTGATATCGTGGAGTATATCCAAAAGTACATGAATGGAACCAGCATCAGCTATGCCGAGAGAATCGGTCAGGATCTTGTCGATAATGGGCTTCTGCGCCTCGTGGGCAATATAGGCAGCACTTTCGCCAACAGCTCCAAGATGAACTATCAATGGCGCCCAAAAGTGTTTCAAATCACCGGAATTCCCGAGAAAAAGAAGCCTCTGATGCGCGTGACCTCGATTGCGTCCAGTGAAGACGGCAGTGAATCACCGATTGCTTCCGTGTCAGAGATGCTCGCGGGCTGGAATCCTCTCAACAACCCATACCCGAACGAGACTCCAGCTGATAAGCTACGAAGGGAGGCGCGCGAAGCCGATGAACGGTACAGAGCCGCTGTGCGGAAACTGGATCAGATCAGATGTAAGCTCGAAGAAGAAATTGTGGAGAATCTCCGCTTCATGGAGCAGTGTGAGTTGGATCGTCTCAAAGCGATCAAGGCGGTCGTTCTCGACTTCTCGGGGGCCATCAGCAACGTCATTCCCAACTTGCAAAGCACTGTCGATCACATGATGCTCTATCAAGAGACAATTCAGCCGCTGGGAGATTTACGCTATCTACTGGAAAACTATCGTACGGGCGGTTTTGTGCCGCGTGTCCAAGCCTATGAGAATTATTACGGATCAGTCGAAGGTATAGTTACATCCTGATAGCCTTATGTCGTGTGCACTACGGTTTCTCACTCTTGCAGAACAAAATTTCGGGGTCGATCTTGAGGCTAGAGCTCGAGCCGATCGGAAAAGAGTTCCAATTCTTGTGACGACTCTACTGACGTACTTGGACAACCGTAAGCCAAACATACCCCTTTCGCCTACCCAAGTGCATTTGAGCTAACCGATCTTCTCAGACTATCCCGAACTTGAAGGTGATGAGGCACGCCGCGCGATCTGGCTATACGATGTTTCTTTGGCCGCGACGCATCAACTTCGCAATGCATTGAATAACAGCAAAGCGGACTACAACGAAATCCTTCAGAAATACGATATACCCATTGTCGCGAGCGTGTTGAAATTGTACCTTCTTGAACTACCTGGTTCGTATCAAGAAATGGTGGAAGTGTTCTAGTTCATTGAGCTAATTTCTTACTAGATTCCCTTGTTTCTTCGCAAGTATATGAGATTGTCAAGACCATTTATTCAACTACCGCTCATGAGACGACGGAAGACGGACGGATTAAAGTTCTGCAGAGCACCCTTGGTCAGCTTCGTCTCAACAACATCGCTACGCTTGACGCCATCATGACCCATTTCACGCGACTTATAGACCTAACATCTGCCGACGAGGCATATATCTCCGCATTGGCGCAAACACTGGCTCCTTGCATCCTCCGCCCTCGTGTTGAAAACAGCCTTACGATGAATGAACGTCATAACTACCGTCTTATTCGTGACCTCTTCGCTCACAAGGATGCTATCTTCGGCGAGCTGAAACGTCAATCGAGCGTGCTTGGATTAGGCTCAACATCCAATCGCCCACGTGCCATTAGCACAGATGAGAGCAATCGCCGTGCTGCAATGGAGGCAAGGAACCGTGCTATAGTAGACCGCAGTCGTGCCAATAGCCCAGCTCCTCCCCGCAAGCATCGGCGGGACCGCTCCAGTGGTGCTTCGGAGGCTGGACGGTTTCCAATCCACGTCACCAGCCCGACCGAAAGGAGAGCAGCCACGAGGAGCAGCTTGGAGGTCCCGGCCAGCGCTGAATCTCCCACCACGGCAGAGCAATTCACAAACGTGAACATTCAGACCAACGATAGCGCCACTAATGGCACATCCAGCGATTCCCCAGCCTCTGCCGCTGTCGGAGAGAATGCCTCAGAATCATCTAGTCCTCCGCCTGCAGCTAACTCTGACGGCTCTCCGACTCCTACTCCCACCCCCGGCTATGTGACAGCTCCAGGCGAGCCGGAAAAGCGCAGCTCGATTCCACGCTCTGGTGCTATGTTCAACCGCAAACCCGGTCTCGGCAACCGATCCAGCTTCCCTACCGTTGCAAGCGCGGAATTAGAACCGGGCAGCAAGCGGAATAGCCTTGCTGAGAGCGAACCCAAGGGTGTCACCTTGGAGGATAAACCTATGGATGATTAGACGTCCAGTACATCGATGTCTTCATGCTGTCAACGCTGTCATGATCAGATTGGAGCGAGGCTTGAGTTTACCGTGCAGACTAAAGTTAGATCATATGAACATCACCGCTCGAGCTTTCGGCAGGTCTTGTTAGTCGAGCTGGCGATGGCATTGCTTTCTGATTCTCTGTTTTCTTTTCCACTGTTCTCTGTATTCATGCATACAGCCCTTTTGCCCCTTAACACATACCCATTTCATCGTGTATCTTTATCATGTCTATCCAGATACTCTTCTGTCGTCATTCCTTCCGTTATCCTCTTTGTTCTTTTCCTCGAAACCACCCCTCAAATCGTGTTGAACTTATCGAGAGCGAATTGTGAATCTTGTTATATAGTATTGTTTCCCCCCCTTTTCATCCTGGTATACTTTACTCGTAGAAGTCCGAGGAGTATCATCTTGTAAAATCATGATTTTGATCGACTCTTTCGTTATAACCATGTATTGGTGTCTAATACAGAAGCGCCCAGCCCAAAGTCCTCGAGTTATGCTTAGTTTTTGATCCAACCAACAATCCTAAACGCCCATACAGAATGCTAATAAACCAACGCTTGAAAGTCCCGAACAAAGGATATGTCCTGCAGTGCCCCTGAGTCTGAAGCTGATGGGATTACAGACCTTCACCCATGAGTAATCTTCTGAGAATGCCTTCTCCCGGGCCAGCAATCTGGCTCTCGATTTCCTTCTGGGAAACAAAGCAAACGAGGCCTTGCTCATCCATTCCTTTTCTTGGAGTCATCGGCCCACAGCCCGATTTTGAGGGAGTGCGTCTGACATCAGAGCCGCCAGAGACCGTTCCACCTCGGCCTCGGCCCTGGAATTTGCCGACGAGGCCTAAGGTCTCCAAATTACTGATGACATCCTTGAATTCAGTAGCCGTCAGGGGATGGAGGATATTGTCTTTCCGACACAGTGTGCAATAAGTATCGAAGATTTGTTTAATAGTAGGGACCGACATCTTGGTTTTGGACGGTGTGCCAGGGATATCACTCTCGCGCCGTTTCCGGTCCAAGGCGAGGAGAGAGCAGAGAGCCGCTTTTTGTTGTAGATTGAGCGCCTGAAGCCTTTGGACGGTTCCTTGCCCAAAGGCAGATGAAGTAATGCGAGCTATATGTCCGATGCTTGCGCGTGGTGCCGTAATAATAGTATATGTTATGGTGGGGTTGTGCTTGGATATCGAAGTTCTGGCCGGTGATGAGAGGTTGTTATTTTCAACCAGGATGGTTTTGGAAGCGCTATCAGCACCCGAGCTCTGCTTCTCCAGCTTTTGTAGCGTCTCTTGTTCAATAAGATCGATGGCAGATTTGACAAGCTCGAACGCTTTTCGCAGGTCACCTGTCTGGGATGCAACTTTCTTTGCGCACAGCTGTATAGCTGCAGGCTGGACAAATGGCACAAAATTCGGTTCCACATCCTGATCAGGAGGCAGCAGAGACCGGAGGCGGTTAGTGATTACGTTCGCGATTTGGCTAGCATTGTAAGGTAAAAAAGGTAGTAGGCAAGGCTTCAAGTTCTTCGCCTTCAATTGTGGCAACGAGCGATCGGTCAGATCAAGCGCATTTGCGATTCCGATGAGTAAGAGACGCGATTTGTTGCTCAGAGACCATTCAAATAAGGACTGTAGAACTCCAGCATCCGCGGTGAGTAGGTGGTCGATCTCGTCTAAGGTAACTAAGAACAGACCATCATGTTTCCTGTCAGGAAGAAACATGGCTTTTAGCCTATCCGCGTCGCTCTTCCTGAAAACCTGACCGTCGTCACCGAGATCCTCAATTAGCTTCGAGTATACGTCTCGGGGTCCTCGCATACTGGCGCAATTGATATGCGCGACCTGCACAGTGTCGAATTCTAGCCCGCTGCATACCTCTCGGACCATAGCACTCTTGCCAGTACCTGGGGGCCCGCTGACATACAGACAGCCGCCCTTCCTTGAGGTAACGCGTTCCTGGATAAATGAGGTCAGCTTTTCACGCTCAGCTTCCCGTCCAACCAATCGACCGGAAGTTGCGCCTCGCGCGAATAGCTGCCTAGCAGTCGTATAAATAGTTTGAGAAGATGTTGGGCTCGATATCTGGCGAGGTGTGCGCGGAGTCATCGACTTGCCTCCAACCTGCACTCTGTGCTTCGGGGTGATTGGCGGCGATTCCAGGGCGTCTCGGTACCTGGACTTTGAGGGGGTTTTGAACTCGATGGGTTTTGTATTTTCATCTGCTGTTGTCAGCACCAACTCATCATATATCCGCTTATAAGCCTACCATTGACCGGTTCTGAAGTTTGAGGTTCGGGACCGGTCTTCGAGGGAGACGCGGTCTTAGTGACGCGTACAACATGCTTGATCTTGTCGGTCTCGACAAGCGTGCTCTTGATGCTAGAGTCATTTTCTTGATTGGAGTATGTGCTATTCCTTGTTCGTGATCGCAATTGGCGCGTTGACGATGCAGAAGGCTCGTCGACTTCCTGGAGGATGCGAGGTGGTTGCGTACGGCGCCTGCTGGAACTACGCAGCGGCAATGCTGGTGCTGATATCAAGACCGTCAGTATATGAATTTGAGGCAAACTGGGTGGCTATCTGCCTATCGTACCTTCTGTCTCAATTGCACCTCGATGGCGCTTGCCTAGGACAGAGACGGCCATTACCAGGTGCGCTCGATGATACCTTGTATTTTCGGAAAGAGCTGGGTTAAAAGAGAGTTGATGAAGTAAGTGCGAGGGTCCTCCAATAGATATACGCTTGCCATGTGCCTGCAGCTATGTATTCCACTTTGAAGGATTGGGGACGGGAGCTTCATCCAAAAGAGGCATGATTCCTTTTCTACGCGACAGCTTTCACGCGTCTCCTACAGACACCGCGTCGCGCGTCTAAGCGCCCTTGAAAAGGCATAGTAGCCGAGTGTCACGTGCTACATACCAGATTACCCATTATTAATACCGACTTTACACATGAACGGTAAGGTAACCCAAGTATACCTTATCTTACGCCAACGGAGAATCAGATCGCCCGCGGCCACGGGCAAGTGCGTCACTGTTGAGTGGATGATTGAAGACGGGGAAGTACTCAATGCTCCAGACTTTAGAGGGTTTCATTCCTTCCAAACTAGTTCTTGTCACATCAGCGTTTCTTTCTCCTTGCCGAGTACTCGTCGCTGAATCAGAGCCCACTGCATATATTCATTTTCTTCTTAAGTAATTCCAAGAGACGCCGTCGCATGTCCGAGCCGTGCTCATCATTCGAAGTCTACGGTTTGCAACTGTTTGCATCACTTTGCCTTTCAACGGAGAGTCATCGCACATCGTCCTGCACTGGAGACTGAAATCGCTCACATCGCCCTCCTTCTCTTCCTTGCCTCTATTATCTTCAGTTTCACTCTTCCATCATGGAAAGCGACGTGGTTGCTCAGTTCACAGAGATCACCGGCTCGAACCCTTCGCTGGCGACTCAGTATTTGCAGCTGGCCGACTTCAATATTGAGCAGGCCATGCAACTCTATTTTGAGAATGGAGGTGCGCCTTTGACTGAGGAGCCGGTTCCATCGGCCACCGAACGTAGCCCATCGCGCCCTGCTGGATACGAAGACAACTCCGGTATCGTACACATTGACTCCGATGATGATATTGCCATCGACGAAACACGTTCTGCGCCTCGAGCCCCGCAGCCACAGGGGCTGACGTTTGAGGATGATGAAACTATGGCCCGTCGTTTACAAGAAGAAATGTACCGTGACGGGAGAGATACTTCTGATGGTGTGAGAGCTCCTATGGCCCGCACGACGGAAACGCTCGTAGGGCCGGAGGCGGACTTTGACGACGGTGACATGCATGCGAGTATTTTGGGCCAGTTGCGTGCGCGCCAGCAAAGAAGCAGTCAGTTTCCCAAAAAATTCTCCATTGTCCCTACCGCTACTGTCTTCGGCAGCCTTCTAACTTTGTTTTCTGCACTTTAGGTCGACCTGGTATATTCAATCAAAGGGACACGGCAGAAATTTGGGCAGGTGGTGATGAGAGCTCGCATCGCGAAAGACTTGCAGCGGCTACAGGCGGAGCATCTGAGGCTTCTAGCAAACAAAACATGCTAGCAGAGATGTACCGGCCCCCATTTGACATCATGTCGCGGTTGCCTTGGGATCTTGCACGGCAGGAGGGTCGTGAAAATGAGAAGTGGTTGCTTGTCAACATACAGGATCAGTCCATATTCGACTGTCAAGTATTGAACAGGGACTTGTGGAAAGACCCCGGGATCAAGGAAACCGTCAAAGAACATTTCATTTTTTTGCAGTATTCCAAAGATGATTCACGTGCGACGCCTTATCTTCAATACTATTTTCAAGCGAGCGATATCTCCGAGAACTATCCCCATATATCCATCGTTGATCCTCGGACGGGCGAGCAAATGAAAGTTTGGTCCGGGCCACCTGTGGTCAAGCCTGCGGAATTTCTCATGCAGCTTCATGAATTCCTTGACCGTTACAGTCTCAAGCATAACGTGCGAAATCCAGTGGCGAAGCGAAAATCCGAAAAGAAGGAGAAGAGCATCGACACGATGACCGAAGAAGAAATGCTGGAAATGGCCATGAGAAATAGCTTGGGAGACGCGGTAGCGCAGACTCACAGAGTGGAGGATCCGGACGATTTGACCCGCAGTACTGAAGACGTCAAGGGCAAAGGCAAGGCCGCTCCTACTGATGATGTCCCTATGGGCGAGGACGATCTAGTTGAGGAGGCAGTGGAAGAAGCATCGTCACTGTTCTGGTCCATTCCGGATAACCGGCCACATACTGAGCCACCAGCCGATCCTGCTACTACTACGCGTATTCAATTTCGCCATCCGTCCGGAAGGGTCATTCGTCGCTTTGCTCTCGCTGATCCTGTCAGAAGGATTTACGAATGGCTCAAAGCTGACCCCCCCTTACCGGAAAAGGCAGGGTTTGAGTTTGAGCTCAATTCAATGGGCCGCAATCTAATCGACTCGCTCGATTTGAGCATCGAGGAGGCAGGCCTCAAGAACGGAACTGTCATGATAGGATACCTTGAAGACCTATAGACGCGAGATCGATCCATCACATACCCCAACTCTTAATTTAGAGGCTTTGCGAACGGGGATTTGGCCATTTGAGCAGGTGATAGAAATAGTGGGCCTTTTTCTATTCTACTACTTGTTTCTACATTGGCGTAATACATATTATCTCTCTTTCATGCTGACTGGATTTGTCCATTCTGCTATGATTATGATCTTATTGAACACATGTTGCATGTTCTCTCAACAAGGTTTACTGACCTTACCTTGAGGACTGTGATATGTGGCCTTGACGACTGCATCTTTATCATTGATGTCACTATAGATGTGCGACCCATCTCTTGATAGGAATGAAACTTGATCTTAAGATGAATGCGCTGTGCCTTGTAATCTAAGCTGCCTTGTCCAGCCTTATCCATTCACCTTCATATGCTAGTGATCTGAAATGAGTTCACCGCCTAACCAATCTGTCCAGGACCAGTGCGGAGATGAACCTCACCGCCTGGCAAAATGAACCCCGCGCTGCTCCAATCAACGGACTGTTTCTCTGTTGTTGTTGTCTTGTTGTTGCCGCCAGAGACGCAAGGGAAATCCCACATTCACTTAACCAGAACTAAGGCATCTTCAGGGTCTGGTTTAGCTTCTCTGTCCTATGCAATATTCTGAATCTAGGGCTGGCGGCAAGCAAGGATTCAAGGCATTCAACCTCTTTGCCGGTGCCTGTATAGTGCCCTCGAAGCACACAGCTGGTGGGAATCCGCAGAAGGGACAAGGGATCTCATTGAGAGTCAAGACAATCCTTGATGTAGTAATGTGCTCAGGCATGACAGGGACAGCCAGGTTACTAACCTCGCTGACAGTGAAATTCCTTTGATTGAAATTAACGATTCCTCCGATGGCACGGCTGCTCCCCTCGATTCGCAAATCACGCACCTAGCCCGTTCAAGGCGATCGGTATGTAATTGACTCTCGGTCAGTGATGTATCTCCCCAGGCTTTTCGTGATGAAGGAAGCCCTTGATACAGACATTTATTATTTCATTGCCCTCGAACTCATTCCGCAGGCGACTGATTGACACTTGTTTTGTGAACTGGCTGATCGTTGGTCATCTGTTACAGGGTCTCCCCAAGAGCTTATATTCTTCTCGTGATCGGCTACTCATAGTTCCGCGAAAATGGAAGGCATGGTAGACCCTGAGACCATTTACATGAGGCAAAACTGCATTGGTGCGTATCAGTCCCTAGTCTATCGGACTTCATTGATCGGGACCTTTGCTAACATTAATGTTGTCGTAGGTGGTGGGAGCTTTGGTCGAGTTTACAAAGGGTATGCTGCGGCGACCCTTTTCCTACCTGATCATCGCATTAGCTGACTATGTTCGTCTACTTGTAATTAAGGGTCGATAAACGTACCGGCAATTCTGTCGCTATCAAGGTCATTGATGTCGAAAATGCTGAAGACGAAGTCGAAGATATTATCCAGGAAATTGCCATCTTGTCCGAACTCGACTCTCCATATGTTACGAAGTATCATGGCTCTTTTCTTAAGGGCTCTCATCTGTGGATTGTCATGGAATTTTGTTCGGGGGGTAGTTGCAGCGATCTTCTTCGCCCGGGGCCAATTCCGGAGGACTATATCATGATAATCATGCGAGAGTTGCTTCGTGGCCTGGATTATCTGCATAGCGATAAGAAATTGCATCGCGACGTGAAAGGTATATTGCGAGCTTCATTTGAGACTCGATTGTGAAGCTAACAAATTCGGACAGCTGCAAATATCCTTCTCACGTCCAACGGCCAGGTGAAGCTCGCGGATTTTGGTGTTTCTAGCCAGCTCTCAGCAACTATGACAAAGAAGAACACCTTCGTGGGGACCCCTTTCTGGATGGCCCCAGAGGTCATCAAACAGTCGGGGTATGATTATAAAGCTGACATCTGGTCTCTGGGGATCACTGCCATAGAGTTGGCGCAGGGAGAACCACCTTACTCCGACATCCATCCGATGAAGGTCTTGTTCTTGATTCCTAAGAATCCTCCTCCCACGCTTCAGGGGCCTTTCAGCAAAACGTTCAAGAACTTTGTCGAGCTCTGTTTGCGGCGTGACCCCAGGGAAAGGCCGTCGGCCAAGGAGTTACTCGAGCACCCATTTGTCAAGAGAGCAAGACGAACGACTTATCTGACGGAGTTGATCGAGCGCTATGAAGGATGGCAGATACGTAATGGCGTTCAAAATGGCGGCGTGGATGAGGACTACGTACAAGATCTCCCGTCGGATGACAAAGATCGCGAACATGAGGAAGACCTCTGGGACTTCGGCACTGTGCGCCCTGTAGGACGCACAACAGCTCGGGACCCGATGAGGGAGGCCGATACAAATACCAGGAACCACAACACCACGGGCTGGAATTTCCAAGACAAGCCTCACGAGGGGGTCATGAAATCAAGCCGTCCTCAACCCGACTCACCAAAGAAAAGAAGCTCGTTCATTGTAGCTAGTGCATCTCCCACAAAGGTTCCGCTGCCACCGTCGCCTGTCAAACATCCATTTTCAGAGGTCAGCCCACCTCGAACACCTACGCGTTCTCAGAGGCCTGTTGCTGGGCAACCTACAGAGAGTCCTAGCACAAGCGAGTACAACAGGGCCCTACAACAATCTTTAGCGCAGGACTCTGTGTTTCTCCAACTCGATCTCTCCCCCAGCAGCTCTTCGGGTCCATCGAAAAACAGACGCGTCGTTCCAACTCCGACTGCCCACGCAACACCCTATCCCTCCAAGGATTCAACTCAAATCTCCCCTTCCCGCACCGAGCGGAAGCCTACTGCATCAGAAGCTCAATCTCAACCCCATGCTCATTTACCTTCGCATTCACTTCCTCCACCAACCCCTTCTCATATATTTCCCCATCCACAACAACAGAGAGACACGCCGCGCGATAGGGGCAGTCCCGAAATGTCCGTCCGTCGTTTCGCCCCAAAGAACATCAGCCGCCATATCGAGGAGACGCAGCAAGTGCCAACCAAAGCGCCTGAACCTCAAACGGTTACACCCCTGCTCAATGTCATTGTTCCTGCTCTCAGGACCGCTGTGCGTCGTCGTAGGGAGCAGGTAGATCTGATTTCTCGTCAAGCTATGGCACACAGTGGCGAGAATCCAGACAAACTAGCTGAGATCAAGGGTGCCCGCCAATACGTACAGGTCAAGATTGAAAGCCTTGTCGACGACTTAGTTCACTCGTTTACTCGGATAGATAACTGGGACAACGAATCGCCAGTTGGAATGGGTTCGGGCGTGGTTTCGTTCCTTGAGGGTTTCCTCGAAGAGATTCTCGTCCGCATTGAGGTTCCCACTGACGATGAAAATGATGACGAAGGATATTATCCATCCAAACCAGCCGAGTCTGAGGCAGGCCATGCTAAGAACGCGTCTAAGACCTGACCACACTCGCACTCAACACATTATTCCATCTAACTTGCCTAATGCATTACTGCTGAAGACCGTCAAGTCGGCATGTTGATTTCGCTTCAATTCTCTTCACCCACTGACTTGAGCTTTGAGTGTTTCTTGGGCCAGCTTTCAGACATCCCTCAAGGAGTTGCAGGCCTTCTGCTTGAGGTGTGCGCAAAGTTTGACTTTCTCATCAAGCCTTTGTTTCACTATTGTTTTGTTTGGCTCTACTTTACGACACGTGCGAAACCATCCAATTGTCTCCTTAACTTACAAATTTGTCTGTTTCCCTTATCTTTTAGTGTTGGATTCTAGGCTGGTTCCTCCCAATCTATGTCCCAGAGGCCATTCTGAATCGATTTCGATACCTTGGGGTCTGTGTTCGCGGATTCGCAAAGATGAGTGGAGATAAGGCTATTGTACAAGTGAGAATGTACAGGAAGGTGTCCATGTTAAAACGAATCAGTGACCATGATTAATGAAACAAACTCATTACGTGCTACCTTTCTTTGATTTTACCTACTGCTTCCAGGTAGCTGGCTGGGAAAGATCCTTTTGTACATCGAGACATAGTACCAGCGCTATATCACACTTCAGGCCCTAGTATATACGAAAGAGTAAACAGTCCCTGAAGAAGCCCTGCGAGTGGGGACTGGCCGAGTTGTGAGCATGGACATGTTTTCAAAACAATGGACATGTGCCTCTCTCTTGGGACGGAGTTGATTGTCATCCAGGACCGATGTGCAGCCGAAGCGTTACAACTGTGTAGAGCAGAAGCTTTTGGGTCACAGTCATGGCATCGAAGCAATATCATTGTGTCAGTTCCTGCTGAGGGTAGACCGGACAATATGGCTGGCGATATACTCCCGTGGACACAACAGGCCAGAGTTGACTGGGCACTTGAGTTCGCGCATAATTACCTGTAACTGCCCTTCCTTGGTCTGGTAGATGAAGTTCGAAGTCGAGGTTGTCCACGTATTGTAGGTACGGCTGCACACTTGAGGAAAGTATTTCCTCCGGATGACGGGAACATCTCATACTGCTTCCTCCAACAATGACTATTCATTGTGCCCCTAGTCAGCCAGTGTCAGGGTGGGTTATGTGGTTACGGATCTGAGCCTGGATTGCTAACCACCAGATGTTCTTCATTTCTGAGCAGCGTGTCCTTCTCCAAACCACAGACCCCCCCTGTCCGCTATTCCTGACACAAATCAGATAGCGTTATCTGACTGCCAAGTTCAAGCCCTTTTAGAAAGGGTGCTAGAGGCTTCATCTCCGTCTCTGGTCGTTGATAAGCCACGGAGTCGAGACACTTCCGTTCAGCACTTCGACAGAAACCGGATCATGAGAACTGATTCTTTGGCCAAATTCTATCCGCCAGGTCGAAAAAGCCAGTCAGTCTCAGGGGTCGGAATCAGATAATTGGTGATGTTGAATTCATTGGTATTGCTATGTGTATTGTCAACGGTAGAGTTTGTGGAACTGTTGGGACCATTTCCGGTGAGGCCATGTATTGACATCGGATTGTTGACAGGCTCATTCATATCCATATTTGTCATGTCTGGAGCTCGCGTGGGAGGGACACGGGGCACGTTGAAGAAACCAAAGACGTCGAGATACTCAAGCTCATTTGGTGCTAGACTTCGCGACGGCATGGGTATTGTTGGCGGTGCTAGTTGGCTACCAGCTGGGGATGAGCGCGGCTGTCGTGAGATGAGGAAGTCCAGGTCAAACGCACAGCGACGCATGTCTGCGAGAATCTTCACACTGGATGGTGTAGATCGATCGCCATCTGTCGCTCCGGATTGCTGATATTCGCCGTACTCGTCAAGGACGCGCTGCAAGATGGTACTATAGCGTTCTGCAACCTTCCAGTATTTTCCCATCTGGGCAAGCGCGTCGACGAAGAATATTATATCGGGGCTCACTGTGTGAGCGATGGTTGAGCCGTGTACAAGCAACAGGCGAGCGCAGACCCACAGAGTGAAGGCAAAGGGGGGCCCGAGTTTGTCAAGCATATTGTTGTCCACGACGAAACGAGTCACTGAAAGAATATTATCAACAGCTAGCAAGCAGCGTTGGCTAGCACTATACGATGGTGTGAAGATTGGAGACCTCGTGGTTGGATAGGCGGCGGATGAATGGAGGCGGATCACAGCTCTGTCTCCGGCATTAATAGTCTGGACGAGGCAACAGGATGATGAACAAGATCACTTACGTTTGAAATGTGGAATGAAGTTGCACCCAGTCACAGTGCAGACTTTTGCTATGCTTCGATCCATTGAACAGTCGCGAGGAGTTCTCATAGGCATATTCAGGAGGGAGGTTAAACTCCCAAGAGGTCAACTCATTGTCCAACTTGCGATACGTTGCTTGCCATCCTTCGACATCGGATAGAGATCCAATATCCACTGGTCTCTTCAAGAAGAGATGTATGCGTGAAAAGATGCCAAGAATCTCCACATACAAACCGAACGAACCAACATTCTCCGCCCTACTCAGATAATCAGGACGTTCACTCGTGTGTTGGAACCATCTCGTCTCTACCGGCTCATTTTTGGTGAAGTATTCGTCCTTGCATGGTAATTTGCGGTCAATGTCCTTGTCATCCAAAGCGAAGTCGAAGGCCGTAGCAATGGTGGAATATCGATCTAAAAGGTATACCATCCAGAACAGTCTGCGTCTGCTTTCATCCTCAATCCAGGAACCGGGCTCCGGTAGAGTGACGGCTCTTAAGGTGTAGATGGACGGATAAACAGGGGCGATGAGAGACGACTTGGACTCAACAGCTAATCCCAGCTGGACAACCGACCGTGTGATAAGAGCAAGCAATTTCCAGCCCGGTGGACCATTAGACGAACCCACCAGGTCCAGAGCTAATATCACCAACGCCTGGAGTGCTTTCACCGACGAGTTTTCGAGGCCGTACAAGATGACCTTCTGTTTCGAAGAGTCATGGTACCGCTTGCGGTTTTGCTCATTCAGGCGAGGGTCACTCGAGAACCGCAGAGTGGTCGCGACTATAGCATAGAGAACCATACGGTCGGCTTCTTCGAGAGGAGAAGGTCCGAAGAAAGTGTCCAGAGTTGTTCTCCGGTGAAGAATAGGACAACAGGTATTGATATGTTCGAAGTACAAGTCCACCAGTGCGTACAAGAGGTCATACGGTGGCAGATCGAGTTCTGGATCAGCCAGAGAGTGTTCTTGATTAGAATACAGGTTGACTGGTACCTTCAATGAAGACTCATTTCCTGTATAGTCGTTATGTGGATTACTGCCCGACATTGAGGAGAGTGGCCCGGCTGAAGAGATGCCATTCGGGACATGGCTCTGCACCGCGTTCCTGACCGAAGCATCTGAAGGGCTGGTGATTGAGACATCATTGTGGCGAGCTGATAAAGGGGCAGTCGATGTCTCTTGAAAATAGACTGCGTTACGAGGGCTTGGTCCGTGAGCGGCAGAAGGCTCTGACGGAGAACTATACGAATGGGGCCCAGGTTGTGAGAGGTCATGACTCATACTCATGCGATGCTGGCTTTGAATGATATGAGTCTCGATGAGCCGGGCTTGCGTCTGGATGACCTGCTCCAGCCGATCTGTCCTTATTAGCGATGAATACAGGTTAAAGACGAGAGAGCCCATGAGCATACCAAGCCGCTGCTCCAATTCTTTTCCGTATCCAGCCCGAAGACCAGGCTTCTTTCGTTCCTTGTACTCACATAGCTGGCCATTGCGAGCGCACCATCCACAACTTGGCTGGGCCCGGTCTACAACCGTGAGTCATATGCCAAAAGTGGCTAAAACCCAGGGCAGCAGACACTCACCACATTTGACTTTACGCTGCTTGCAGAGTTCGCATCTGTAATCCGGTTTGAGATGTGTGAATCAGCAGTTGCATAAAATTTCCGAAGGCATCATCCAATTGATGAAACTGGAGAAGGGGGGGAAGTAACATACGACACAGTGAGCGGGCGTTTCCGTTTCAGACTTCGGGCCGCATTTGAATCATTTGGCGTGACGCGATCATTGTCACTATCGCCAGCAGACCACGACTCATCAGCACTTTGTTCTTCCTTATTCTGGTCGCCTGCAGGCCGTGCTGGTGGTGGTGGAGTCTGCTGAACAGAAGCTATAGCAGGGTTCGGCATTGTGTTCTAGCGAGTTTCGGGGTTATGGAAAGCTTCCATAAGCAAGAGCAGCACTACCAGCAGCAAGAAGGCATGATCATCGGCAGCGGCAGCAATGCAACGGACGGGATGCAAGGTAATGGGTCCAGCCGGAAAAGCAAGATAATGCGGGTATCAATGAGGATCAACGGACAGAGACCGAGATAGACTGCCGATATCGAGGACAGAGAAAGGAGGGAAATCAGAAAGGAATCAAAGGATCATGCTTGGGGAAGGCCATGGGAACAATCACAAGAGGCCAATGAAATCGCCCTCGGCAGTGCCTGAGGCAGCCCTTTTCACCCCCGCAAAATAACTAAAATCCCCACAAATAACGAGACCACGAGACCGGTGAGAGCTGGCCTGGATTGATCATAATTACGGAGCACAGAGTACCCTTAGATTACTTCCACCTAGACCATCTCGGACTAGCAAAGGTATCGGCAAATTTGCACTGAAGAAGAATGACAATAATAGGCAGCTCCATCGCGAAAAGCGGACGGACAGTGGCTCGTCCATCCTTCCGGCCGATACCTAACCTTACCTCCCTCGAGTCCCTTGAGTTACCTACCTAGTACGGTAAGGTACACCAGGTAGGTCTGTTGGTCTCGGGCAAGCAATGCCCCGAGGCAAGCATCTGCCTGAGTATGATGGTCATGAACCCCACGACGCATTGTCGGGATGGCCGCTTTCAAATATGACCGGTTTTCCCCTTAACATCATGCTAGATTATTGAGTCCCTCCCTATCTTCTCTCCTTCCTTTCCTTTTTCCGTCCGCGATTTGTCCAACTTCACCCTATCGCGCACCATGACTCTCAAATCGACTTTCCCCCGCATTAAAGAAGTCCGGACTTTCATCATCGATGGAGTCGGATCTGGTGGAGATTATCACAATGTAAGTGTTTCTTCGAAGTCCGCGGTTTTGCGCTCTTATGGTTTTTCCTATTCGAAAAGCGTGATGGCCGGGACGAAATGGCGTTGGCTAAATGTACCTCCTCATCATGACTTAGGTCAAAGGTGGTCACTGGTTGGTCGACAGTGACATCTCCACTCCCATGGCAAAATGGGCGCAGTATCGCGGTTCCCGGACATCGTGGGGTATTAACGTCTTGGGATCTTTCTGTGTTGAAATCGAAGCTACCGATGGTACCAAGGGTTTCGCCACTGGATTCGGTGGCCCTCCAGCCTGCTGGTTGGTACATCAGCATTTCGAACGTTTCCTGATCGGCGCTGGTAAGTTACTCGGTTTCCGGTCCAAGAAGATTGGCTACAGGCCATTCAACATGCAGACAATGGGAAAAGCTGACCTGATATCTAAACGATAGATCCTCGTGACACAAACGATCTGTTCGAGAGAATGTACCGAGCCTCTATGTTCTATGGCAGAAAGGGTCTTCCAGTCGCCGTTATCTCCGTCATTGATTTGGCTCTCTGGGATCTCTTGGGCAAGATTCGCAACGAGCCGGTTTACAAGCTCATCGGCGGTGCTACCCGTACGCGGTTGCACTTCTACTGCACGGGACCTCAACCTGCTGCTGCCAAGGCAGCGGGTTTCATTGGCGCAAAGGTGGCCCTGCCTCATGGGCCCGATGAGGGCACGGAAGGATTGCTCAAGAACGTAGAGTACCTCCGCAAGCAGCGTGAGAGCGTCGGCCCTGATTTTCCCCTGCGCGTGGACTGCTACATGTCCTTGAACGTTCCATACACAATTGAACTCGTCAAGCGGTGTGAAGCGGAAGGAATCAACATCGATTGGTGGGAGGAGTGTCTCAGTCCCGATGACTTCGATGGCCATGCCCTCCTCAAGCGGGCTCACCCCACAGTCAGGTTCACTACGGGTGAGCACGAATACTCTCGATATGGTTTCCGGAAACTCGTTGAGGGTCGCAACCTTGACATCCTCCAGCCCGATGTGATGTGGGTCGGTGGCATGACAGAACTGCTCAAGATCTCGGCAATGGCTGCGGCATACGATATCCCTGTTGTGCCTCACGCATCGGGCCCCTACTCGTATCATTTTGTTGTTTCTCAGACCAACTCACCCTTCCAGGAATACCTGGCAAACTCTCCCGATGGAATGACCGTCGAGCCAGTGTTTGGCAACCTCTTCGTGAACGAGCCCATCCCAACTCAGGGTTACCTCGATGTTTCGATCCTAGATAAGCCAGGTTTTGGTTTGGAACTGAACCCTGCAGCGCCGCTAATATCTGCTGCCACTATCCTTACACCGGCCCCTCAGAAGAGCCTCACATTGCCCGCCGAGGACGAAAAGTTGACCAACGGCGCTGCTCACTAGATTGACTCTTTTTTGTCTAGATATCCACCTGAAATGTCACGTTCTTGACGAATATTCTTCTATTCAACCATTTAATGCACCACTTTCTGTTCATGAATTGTACTGTACATATGGCTTAATTGCATTGTTTTGCTTGATAGACTGAATGATCAGATCTCTGCCAGTGCTAGTACCCCTCAGTGCTATAACTCAGACTGATTACCCATCTATTTCACACATAAAATCAATCACCCTGTTTTTGTTCATGAGCAACTATTCTTAAGGAATACTAGTTCAGATTAGTAGTCGTGCAACACCAGTACCTCTCTTTTATCTTCCGCACGTACGGATCCTTCTTGTTCCCCAATCGGCGTTTCCTCCGATTCTACGGAGTCTGTACGGAGTAGTGTGGGGAAGTGGGATGGGTTGATCGGGGTATCAATAGCACGAAGACCGAGCAAAACTCCACCAATTGCCGCTATCGCTCTCTTATCACCAACCCCTCGGCAGGGTTCCCCTAGGCCAGGAGCCCTCATGTGAGTGCAAAATCACGATCAACCCGGAGATCAACCATTATATCCTTGTGTACTGCTGGCTGCCCATTAAGTCCTCCTCCAATTGCGTCGTTTGTGAGTGAAACTCTGAAGTGTGGTGGACATACGTCGATCAGAAAACAGATTGTGTCGCGATGCCTCTTCCTCAGCTGTTAGTCGGAAAGGTTGCGGCCATTACGGGCGGATTGACGGGTATCGGTAGGGTATGGATTCTTATTCATGGAAACATTTGTCTTCAACCTTTGCGATTCGACTAACTTGTTCACCAGGCTATTGCTCTCGAGTACCTCCGTCATGGCGCAAAGGTAGCAGTTAACCATCTCGGACGACCAGATGAAGAACCGTTGCTGGAGGCCATGCGGAAAGACGTTGCTGAGATTACCGGAAGTGAGGGGGAACGATTCATCACAGTAGCTGGAGACGTCTCTCAGCCTGAGACGGGTCGGGACTTTGTCACGAAGACTGTCGAGGCTTTCGGACGGCTAGATGTCTTCGTGAGCAACGCGGGAGTGTGCAAGTTTGAGGAGTTCCTGGAGTAAGTTAAGTCGCTTTACATGTCTTAGTTTTTTGAAGTTGGAGCCGTCTGTACCGCTACTGACCGTCCGGCCTTTGCAGGGTTGACCCTCCACTTCTCGGGCACACGGTGAACACGAATCTCTGCGGAGCCTTCTACGCGACTCAAGCGGCAGCACGGCAGATGGCCCTAGCGCAGTCACCACCTGGCGGCTCGATTATTGGGATCAGCTCCATCTCCGCTCTTGTCGGAGGCGGACAGCAGACACATTATACCCCTACCAAGGCTGGAGTGCTCAGCCTGATGCAATCGACTGCTGTGGCGCTAGGAAAATACGGAATCCGATGCAACGCCTTACTCCCTGGAACTATCCGGACCCAGCTGAACGATGAGGACATGAGTGATCCTGTCAAGAGGACTTATATGGAGGGGAGAATCCCACTGGGACGGTTGGGTCAGCCTCCTGATCTGGCTGGCCCAGCTGTGTTCTTGGCCTGCGATGAGTTGAGTGGCTATGTGGTGAGTGCATGATGATCTATTTTTCTTGCTCGGACTTGGGGGAACACTACTAACAAATGAACAGACTGGCGCACAGCTTCTCGTGGATGGAGGATTGTTTGTGAACCTGCAGTGACCGTTCTGATGTCTTGTTGTGACGATGGTTATGCCGACGAGCGTGTTCTACATGGCATTGATGATAAACGCGTAAATATGTACATAATAATTGCCGCAGATTGCATATTCAGATCTTGATACCATACGCTTTGGCTGCAACCTCTCCCCAGACCCCTTTCTTCTGTTCATCAGTCAATCCTCGCCTCTCAAGAACATTCTCTACAACACTCTTCCAGCGACTCCAGGAGACTTCGTTTCCACCTCCACCTATATTGCAAACAGGCCAGTCTGATCCAAACATGACCCGCTCTGGACCGAAAACCTCGAAAACAACGTCTGACCATGGCTGTAGTCTATCAACTAGGGACGCGATGTCTGGATCGGGAGTCGATGCAAGCGGAGGTAACTCTGAGAAGCCGCCGGAGAGCTTCATGTAAGTTGTAGGATACTGGGACATGGCGCTGACTAGAGACTTCCATTCAAGGAATTCGGGATGAGAAGTTATATGCTCAGGAGTAGAATAGGGCAGACGAAGGTTCGGTTTACAGAGATGGTCTTGTGTGGTGCCTTGGTCAGTTCACCTGCATGTCAATCAGTTATTGGCTTGAGCGCAACATACTAATAACCAGTGTCAATGCAGCGCCTCCATCATCCACGCCATCATAGATTCTCTTCATCATCTCGACCGCTTCTCTCAGTTGCCAAAGACCGCCCTGCCGCGCATCCACGCCAAGGTCGAAGGTCAGCCCTCTGCTACCGAGATACGTGAGTCCGTCAATGAACCCCTGACTGAGCATGACACCCGAGGGTTTATCTTGAACAAGATATCGCACTCCGCGTACTTTCCTCCAGACCTCCTCCGTCTGGGTCCTCTCCTTAACGAAGGAAAGATACTTTTCAAGCGTGGAGGGGCCCCCCGGTACGGGAGCCCAGGGAACAATTCCTAAGCATAGATGTCTATCGACATCTCTATGTCCCTCACCTGCAATTGGTTTTCCCAAAGCAATGCGAGTCAGCAGAGACACTTCATCCAGAGCGTGCGACCAGCCAGCGCCCGATTCTTCGACCGATGAGATTCGGTCCGTTTCGAGAAAAATGAAGCCGCGCAGGTAAGTGTCTTGTGCTGCGTCTGGAGATGTAGGTACTGCTGCTGTTGCTGCACGATATTCGTCGACAGAGTGCTGCGATCCAAGTGGGTTGTTGGGTCCATGCCATGCCAGAGTTGGGAGATGCGATTCCGGGAATAGATGGATGTGAGAGTCGACAATTGGGATAGGCATTGCGTCGTTCTTGATGCTTAGAGCTCTGCAGTAGTCTTGGGAGAGGTCTGCGAGTCGTTCACCTGGGTCGTATCTGGGATGGTCTGAATGCGGGGTAGGGCGCTTCAGCTGTCACAAAGTGTCAAAATGCATAAGCAACATGGAAGTTGTGTAAGATGATGACATAAATGAGGTCTTTTTTGTAGGCCGTCATCGAGATCTGTACTTTGTTGATTTCCCTGGAATAACACGCCATCGGCGACCATTATGCCGAGAGTGCCACTTGGTTCCATCCAGTTGACTGTGGATGAACGACGATCAGGTGAGTACCTTTTGGGCCATTTGGGTGGAAGATATATACTTGTCCCTCGCCGAGTTCCAGTCATCATACATTGAGTTTTTGAAAAGGTTCTGTTCGACCATAGTATCCTGCTGGGACAAGGGTAAGTAACCTCTACGAACCCCGCTTCGGCTTGCGACGTTCTTGACCCCTCATCGATTGATTCTTCGCTCCCATCAGACGCCTCGCGTACAAACGAAACAGACATAATACTTGTGCATCTTCGAAGATAAGCTGCTGGGGCACTACCGAGGTCGTCTTGCCGCTTGACCCCAGGTTGTTACGGTCGTTTCTCATACCAGCATGCGACTATGGCAGTCTGGAGCAAGCCATACCCCTCATGCTACGCCCTTTATACTCTGCTGATTGGACGCTGAAAGATGGCCAGGGCTAATTTAGTTATTGCCCAGACCTTGTGCCTCGTGCATGCTGCTCATCCAGCATATGACTTTCGAACTGTCACATCCGAAATAATAATGCCTTCACAGCTTGCTACGGAGGTGTCGGTTGTGTGGTTGTCCCCAATTGCCGACTAACTCTCCCCGCTCCACCTTGACTCCTCTTTTCCGTTCAGGAGTAACGTATTAGTCTACCATGGCAGGTAGCACAGACTTGGCAATGAAGATCAAAATAGAGGTGGAGTAGATAAAGGGCGGTCCGAAGATCGTGGGACTGTTTGGACCACTCGGATTGCCACCTACACTACTTCACAACTGTTTCTTCTTTCGCACCTCCGTCTACAGACGTATACCGTCAGCATTGCACCACATAAGCTCATATTGTCGATATGGCCGCCCCAGAAATTCCAAAGAAGCAAAAGGCGGCTATCTATGACCAGCCTGGCACTGTGTCAACTAAGATTGAGGAGATTGATGTGCCAGAACCTGGTGCCGGTGAAGTCCTTATCAATTTGTATGTCTCGTGCTCGGAATATTTTTCCGTTGGAAGGAGATGCTGTGTTATTCTTCTATTCCAAAAACAGTATTGTTTCTTTTGGACTGACAAAGACAAATAGAACACACTCTGGTGTTTGTCATTCCGACTATGGTATCATGACAAACAGCGTAAGTCATGTCCACCTTCACCTGAAGCTGGGCCCTGACGTCTCCTAGTGGAAGATGCTTCCACATCCTACGCTGCCAGGACAAGTTGGTGGGCATGAAGGAGTGGGTAAAGTCGTCAAGCTCGGCCCGGGAGCCGAATCATCTGGCTTGAAGATTGGGGACAGAGTTGGTGTCAAGTGGATCTCGAGTGCTTGTGGAAATTGCCGTATGTGCCAACCGATATTCCAAAGCTTTCATTTGGTAATCTCGGACTGACAAACGAGCTTTGCAGAGCCATGCCAGGCAGGCTCCGACGGACTCTGCTTTAAGCAGAAAGTGTCCGGGTACTATACCCCAGGCACGTTCCAACAGTACACCGTGGGGCCAGCGAACTACGTCACACCGATCCCGGACGGGCTTGCCTCGGACGAGGCAGCCCCCATGCTCTGTGCGGGTGTCACGGTCTACGCTGCCCTCAAGAGAAGCCACGTTCGACCAGGGCAGTGGGTCGTCATCTCCGGCGCTGGTGGTGGACTGGGACACTTGGCAGTCCAACTGGCCAGCAGGGGAATGGGTCTGCGCGTGGTCGGCATCGACCACGGCAGCAAAGAAGAACTAGTCAAGGCCTCTGGCGCAGATCACTTTGTGGATATCACCAAATTCCCCTCAGACGACAACGGCGCGGCTATCGCCGCTCATGTCCAGTCGCTGACCGATGGCCTGGGTGCACATGGCGCTCTTGTCTGCACCGCTTCGAATGCCGCATACGCCCAGGCCCTCCTCATGCTGCGTTTTAACGGCACGCTGGTGTGTGTGGGCATCCCCGAACATACTCCTCTACCCATCGCTACAGCAACTCCAGGGTTAATGGTCTCCAAGCATTGTACGATCACTGGCTCGGCCGTTGGAAACCGAACCGAAGCTATCGAGACTTTGGAATTTGCAGCACGGGGTATCCTCAAGGCTCACTTCCGCACCGAGAAATTGGAGGCCTTGACCAGCGTTTTCCAGGAAATGGGCGAGGGTAAAGTCCAGGGAAGAGTGGTTCTAGATTTGTCCTAGAGCTGTCGGTATCGTTTATTCCATCACGAGTGCGTGTGTTGTTCCATGTTGGGTATGGGTCAATGTGATTATTACTGTCGTCCTTTGCGTTTGAGGCCTGTACTTGATCCCGGTAGGATCTCAACCATGTCCTGATCCTGTCGCTAACGTGAGTCCCGTTTGCTAAAAACACTGCTGAAGACTGCTGAGGGAGTCAGCTCGACTAATGGGCGGAAAGTTGGAGGATTGAGGAAAAAAAATTTGACCGACGCAGGATTCGAACATGCAATCTCTTGATTCGTAGTCAAGCGCCTTACCATTGGGCCAGCCGGCCAGGCTTATTAGACAATCTGCCTAATTTAGTTATATAATTTAATTCAAGAATTACCGATGCCTCGTGATTTAGAATGGGTTCATGAAGCTTAATGTTAGGCTCAAGTGAAAACAGCTCCTTGGCCATGCCACCATCGGTGCATATTCAGTAGATAGCCTTATTTATAGGTACCGCCGATCACAATATATCTCTCAGCTTCACCCCAAGTTTTGAACGATGAAATGGATGTTGATATTGTGCTATATATGTATTAATATGTTTTAGGTAGGTGGACCGCAGAGACCACAGATGGTCAGCGTACTGGCTATATTGGAATAGACCAGCCTATCACCCATCTATCAGACGTCCACTGGTTTGGATGAAGCACAATGACTATATTAGACGCACAAGGGTATCTAGATACGGAATCACTCAAGGAAAGCATAGAATATGTACAGACAGCCAACCAAATCACACACAATGACTCTAGAAGTCTTGTAAAAGTCATCGACTGCGTTTGGTATCTCCTCCAGATGTGGCCGTGGCTGGGCGTTTCTGCCCAGATGTAGTAGAAGCCGATTCAGCCACGCGTACTAGAGCGCCCAGCTTCAGAATATAGGCTTTGGGAGCTCTATTCACCTCGTTCTTCTGCAGGATCCTCCCCAGTCTGTCCGCAAATCCACCCAAAACCGTGGGCTGTAGCTTCTCGAGCGCATCGAGGATGAAGAAATTCCCCGTCTCGTCTGCTCTGCCGATAAGCTGGTGATAAAGATTCCGCTGGTCCTCATCCTCTCCGCGAAACGTCGTCCGACCCCAGGTATTACCATCTAGAGAATCCTTGTTACGGCTGCAGATGTCCTCAAGCAGTGTCACCAGGGCTTTTGCTGCGCCTTCCGCGCCATGCGGTGCCCGAGCAACGATGTGTTGCTCAATGCGGTTGACATTTCGTTCCAGCTGTTCGACAACATCGTCGACATCCAGACCTGTGCTGTCTGCAGGCAGCTGCCCTGTTTGACAATAGCG